AATATAAGCATTATTATTTCTAAGTAATAAGTTTGTATGTTAGATAAAGTTCGTTTTGTTATAATTAACCTACAACAGAGTGTAGCGCGAGGATTTACCTATTGCGATATCTCTCAAAATAATGGAAATATCAAAATTCTGGTTTTGTAATAAGACTTACATGGATATGAATTAAAATTATTTAAGTTTTTTATTTATTTTAGTGTTTTGGTAAAAATTAAAAAAAAATTTTTTTTTTATTTAATTATTTCCAAAAAAATTAAAGATAGCCATTTTTTAGAGTTTATTTTTCTAAAAATATTGATGTTTCAAAATTTTATTTACATTAATTTCCTAGTTTTTAATATTTTTTCTAGTTTTGAAAACATAGAAAAATATGATTATAACTAGGCATCATATTGAAAGTTATCGGCCGACGAGAACGCGCACGGCGTGACAGGTCACATGTTTGATAACACTGTAGTGTTAAATAATTTGCAATTTTTCTCGAAACAAAAAAAAAAATTAGGAAATTAATGAAAATAAAATGTTGAAACGCCAATATTTTCAGAAGAATAAACTCTACAAAATGGCACTAGTCAATGTTTTTGAAAATAATAAAATAAAAAAATATATTTTTTAACTTTTTTACCAAATATCAAACTAAATTAAAATATAAAATATTCATAGTTCTTATATCTGTGATTCTTATTACAAAATTAGAATTCCGACATCTCCATTATTTCGGGAGATATCGTTATGGGTAAATCCTAGTGGGACACCCTGTAAATGTATATGCATCAAATTGGAGTGTAATAACTAATTAGTAATTACCCAACTAATAGGGTTGTATCTTGTATAAATGTATAATATAATACTGATTTTTGAGTTGGACTTGGCATTAAACCTCGACGGACAATGAATGGACGTCTTATTATGCAGACGTGATGGTGATGCTTATGAGTAAAACTAGATAAGTGAATGTTAAAGACGAAACAATTATTAATGAAGCTCGGGCAATTATAAAGAAAAATGCCTAAAGCACATACATAAGTAGTTCATATTGATGTATTATAATAACTAAGACGAAAAAGGATACAGAAAATTCATCAACGTGTGTAATAAAACAAGTAATAGCTTATATGCACTTATTGTATTCGTATATACATAATATATATATTATTTAATGTAGGACACTCAAGGTTGACACGGAAGAAAGTATATTATATACCGTAAGGGAGATAAGTGGTCGTGCAGTCATAAAATCCATAAGAAAAAAAACACTTCTTCATAAACAGTATAATATACTAAATGGCATATGATATGTTTCAGTGGAGTTATTCGGTTTGTTGTAATGTAAAAAAAAAAAGTTTCAGTGAACAATGCGCTACGTGGCTTAAAAACAGTTACTACCGAAACATCCTTAAAACTGATRCAGTTAGCTTCAGTTTAGRCAAGCCTCTAGAAATATCCATATAAAAATTTTAACGAAAAAAAACAAAAACAAATTTGTCAAAAACTGGTAAATCGTTTACTCGGAGAAACTAGTCTTTATATAGAAATAGAAAAAAATCAATTTAAACTACTGGAAGGAATAAGGGATAATATTTTGATATTTTTGATATCTATTGGTATGATTTAAGAATAGATAATCCAAAACTCCAAAAGCATATTTAAGAATCATTGCATAATTTTAACACTTTGGGAAGAATATTAAKAAATTTATATCATGAAGTAGGTACTAGGTAGTAGGTACTTATCCTTAACRTTTAATCCCTACCACCTATTTATTGCATATATATATATTTATAAGGTGTAACAGATAGAACTAACTTTTGGGATAACTTTTGTTCAAATTAATATTTTTTATTTTTTATTTTTTGTTCATTAAGTGACCCAAGCGCTATATGCATAATACATTTTTCTTATATTTATTTTTTAGTACTTAAAATAAAAACATTTAAATGTAATGAAATATTTTTGGATAAATTCAGAATATAGCTCATTTGTGAATCAGATTATAAGAACAATTTTTATCGTAAAAAGATTTATCTAAGTCAAGTAGTTTATTTTTTAGAATATTTTTAAAATTCAATATTTTTTTTATTGAATTAATTTGGAACGTACCTTATAATTACTTTTTTAAAAATATGATTTTTAAAAAATTTGTTAATATGAGTATATTTCTTAAATTATTTACTTATATAATATAAATAATTTTTGTCAAACATTTAATTATTAGCATATTTTTTTTGATCAGATCTTTCTGTTACACCTTGTATATATATTATGTATTATGTGTAACTATAAACTAGATTAAACTACATCATATTTTTGCTAGTAAATAACTTTTTCAAAATTAGTTAACAATAATTATTATTTTAATTCCAACAGTATTGAGATTATAAATGTATACCTATTAATGTGTTATGCATAGTAAATTATGTATTAGAATAATATTAATAATAACATAATAATAATAATTAAATTATAGCTAGCTAGGTATTTTTCATATGTACAATAGTACATTATATATTTATATACGTATTCTATGTATATATAAATTTGGATAACGGTCACGCAAAGTTAAGGTCAAATAATATACTACGAACACCTTAGATCCTAGTACTTAACAAAAAAAACTAAATCGTTATCCGTATATTTTTGCATATTTTTAGTCTGCTGATTTTTTTTTCAATGTAAATTTTATACCATACGTACGTTTTTGTACGTTAAACCTATTACGCAAATAAAGGGAATTTATTTATATTTACTGTTTGAGTAAAATTAGGCTATAATATGCATATTATAATATAGGTACATTGATATGAACCAAGTTTTATGATACAAAATGATATAACTAATATGTTGCATATTGTTTTCTTTAACGATCTTAGTGTATTATGTGTTTTTTTTTTTTGTAGAACTTAGTATAGGTACTTATATTTATTTTAATAGACAATTTTTAAAATCACAATTTTGATATAGATATTTGGCTAAGAAAATACCTGTAAGGCTATAACATATTATAATGATAAGAAATACGATTAATGAATGAAATAGATATTAATTAATTAATTTCAACTTTTTAAATTACATTTTACAAGTGTAACATTTTTTTGTCGAAAAATATATTATATCGTAGGTAGCTATTTATTTTTACAACCTAAACAATTTACGTTTTTCAAAGTTATAGTTTTTAATGTTTTAATCATACTACCTGCTTGCTATTGTATCAAATAGATGATCGAATAATATAAAGAAATATGTATTTTTAGAAATATCTGGAAATTAAATTTATCTTATTACATTCATTAAAAAACTATTGAAAAAATGTCCATTGGGGAATTTTTCTTTGAATCTTATAATTCAYGGGCTATTTATAATATATTTTTTCATATAATTTATGCATACATCACTTATAAAATATGTAATATAACTCATGAATATATAATTATTAGTAGCTAATTGTCGGACAATTGACTGTGATGATTATATGATATTGACGAAATGGGTCAGTCAAATCCTCTCACATATTATCATAATCATAAATCGTCATATTATTGTAGGTAGGTACCTATTATAATGCTGTATATACTTAATACTGTGAAGGCTAAATTATTAATCTAGCCTTCATGGTTCAAACACATTGATTAGTATCTATTATATTTTGAACTCATTTTGTTTTTGGATCTTCTCTCATTATAATATATAGTTGAATACATAAATCGTAACTATAATTTATATTAAATAATAAGCACGATACAAATCTAACTTATAATGATTAATAACAAATGCGTACATTCACAACCCTAATGAACATTATTTGTTTAATTTTTGATTAATTCAAAAATATTTACTTATTTTATATTTTCTTATGGGAGTCGGACATTTCAACACAGATGCTTCGGCGGGAAGACATATCGACGCTGGGCATTTCGGTGCGTCGATAATATCTTGGCGCCGCAGATATAATAATAATGAAGTACTTAATACAATTTTAAACATAAAAAATAAAATATATTATTATTATATTATATCATTATTTCAATATTATAATTTCTTAAATACAAAATAATTAATAATACATGATTACATGGTTACATGGTTAAACATATGATTTGATAATTATAAAAAAAAAGCTATAATAATWGGTAAAATGTAGGTGTTTGGTAAAACTAATATTAAAAAAAAAAATGAATTAATAATATTATAAAATTTCACGTCCGCGATTTGAAAGTAGGTAAATTAGACATTTTAATAATTGAAATTAATAATTTTTGTACAGAAATTATGACAGATCGACTATTCAACTATGAAACCGATTGCTTACAGTTGATACACTACACGTCTACTGCACATTCGTCGTTTTATTTTAACTGCTGTAGGTACCGGTATCTTACCTATTTAGTCGGTTTTTACGTTACACGATAACAGCTATATTTGACTGGATTGTACTATTGACAATTTTATTACGATTATTTTTCTTAATTGTATATTTATAGCCCATAAAAAAATAAGGTACMTACTCAAAATCGTTATTATTATCAAGTTTTAAAAATATTTTTGTTTCGATTTTTAGCCTATTCAAGTTCTATACTCAGGCTCAGGCACATAATATTGTTCTCTTCATTATTTCTCGTTTTATCGCCTAATAATTATTATTACATCACTGGATTGTACTATTGAGTATTGATAATTGTATTTAAAAAAAAAAAGCCGGACCGAAATTTCCTCGCACCAAAACGGCCAGTGCTAATATGTCTCGCACCGAAACAGCTGTGCCGAAATGTCCTAGACCTTTTTTATGACCATTGACCATATAATACAGGTAGGTACTAAACATTGAAAATATTTATGAATATTAGCATTGTAAAAAAATATATTTATTTTAAACATATATTTTTAAAATAATTATATATTATAATAAGTAGTAAATTATAAAAAATAATTAATTTAGACAAATTAATAAATATTTTTTTTTACATAGGTAAAGAATTATCATAATATACCTACATAATTCAATTATAAAAAAACAAAATATAGATTGTAGGATGAACTTAACATACACAACTAGGYACTTAAGTTAAAGTATTTTTGAGCAACAGTAAAAACTGTTATGTTTATATAATAATCGTACATCTAGGTAGGTACTTATGGTTTATCTAAACACTCTAATCTATAAACAGTAGTTGGTATATTTTTTAACAAGTAGGTAACATCGGTGTAGCATTGAAAAACCAATACTTTGTTTAAAAATCTTAAAAAATTATCACAATATATATTATAATACATTTATACTAAATAGTTGGTATCCAAAAATTTAAAAATAAAAGCCACCGACAGTAGTAAATTTTTTTCTTATTTTTACACGAAATAAAAAGTAACGATATTCCCAAATTAGAAATTAATTACCATCTAAATCGATAAAATCATAATATCGTAAAATATCACATGTATAAAATATATAAAAATAATGATTTTAAATATTAAAATAACTATTCAGCCCAAAATACTGTTAGATATAAATAGGCTATAATAACAATATTATCGCTAAATGGCAGTATCTCTTTGTATCAGATCTTATTTATGTTATTTTTTACATTTTCTTAATACGTCATACATTATGTATATGCATTCAATTTTCTTTGAATAATATTTAGATGTTATTATCAAATTGTATATCATTTTCAAAYATTCGTTCCAATGTAAATATTCTCCGGATTATTAGGAGTAATGCGAGATAATTGTTTAAACTGTCCGTGCATAATCGCTATACATGATTTTGGTGTTAGGTCCAAACCAAATTCTTTACATGTATCCTCGAAAGTCTCTTTTAATAGTGGTATTAAGCTATGATCTAAAGCTGGGAACAAATGGTGTAATGTATGGTCGCCAAATGTCGCTATTGTAATAAATATATTATTGATCGGCTCGTTTCGCTCTACGCTGGTTTTCAATTGATGTATTCCCCAATCAATGTATTCATCACTAAAAAAACAAAACAAAACAATATTGGTACCTATTTAAACAAAATAAATATTTATTTTTATTTTTATTTATACTGAGTGTCCCGCGAGGATTTACCCATTGCGATATCTCCTCAGATAATAAATATATCATAAAACTATTTTTTTATTAGACACACATACACAAGGGCTACATGTCATGTATTTTATTTTTTGGTAAAAAGTTAAAAAAATAATTTTTTTTATTTTTGGAAAAAATAAAGACACCTATTTTATAGAGTTTATTTTGCTGAAAATGCTGACGTTTCAATATTGTATTCTCCTATAATTTCATTATTTTTAATAATTTTTTTAGTTTATGAATAAAACGGCAAAAAACTAGTTTTTATACGGGCGGCGAGTCCTATTCTATGGCTAATGGGTTTATCCTCACGGCCCACGAGACACTCTGTATAGCACTGCTATAGCTATTAGTATTAGTATTGATTATAGGTTAGTTAGTATTTATAATCAATGGTATTGGATTATTAAATAAAATATACATATAGGTGGTTAATATTGCATACAAAATAAAAGCTTGTTGGGAAAATAGTACAATGTTATTTATAATTGAACTTCTGAGCAGACCTCGATTAAATCGAACAAAATACTGTAATTAGGCGTCAAGAAATAAAATAAATCACGACATTACATTCGTGCAGGTGCACGAAAAATAAAAATACAAATGCTTTTATGATTTTTATTTTTTATTTTGGATATGTTATTTTCATTAATAGAAAAAATGAAGAACGTCGATAATAGTATAAAAATAATGATATACCTAGTCCTTGCAATATTGATTATAAATTAGCGTTTGGTCCTTGATATTTTCTAAATATTATAAATTATTATTAGTTGTACGTAACTCGTTGTATAAAAATTAAATTCAGTTAAATTATTGTAAGATGTTATTAATTTTAAAAACCTCTATAACATAACTATAAGAGATATTTACATAAAAATCATTATAGATAATATGTTGACAAATTTTAAAAATATTCGTAAAAGTATAAGGACACTTCAAARTTCAAACCACCGAATATTAACATCAAACATGATAACTACTACCTATAATAATAATAATTTGCATATACATTATGCACTKTAACGACCATTGGTCTACAATCAATAATGACCGTGCATTACATTACATTGTAATAAAAATAATAAAAATATTATTTTAATGCTTGTAGTATAGTTATTATATAATAATCAAAAATCAARACTCGTGAGTCATGGTGTACCTCGACAATTAACATAATTTTTAAAGAATTTATTAGCTCTGAGGTTGAATTTAATGTAATAGTACCTACCTATTTTAGCTACAAAAAATATAACTTATCGTAAGTTATCAATAATTATACGAGTACCCATATCAAGTTGGTATGATTAATATTCAGTCAAATTCTGTAAGATTTTTTATAGCATTTTAATATGTTATTATGCAATTTGAAGTTTTAATTGAACGTTATTAGCAATTAATATTATAAAGCTATATGTCTGTATATATGGTAAGAAGAAATGTATTTAACGATTTTAAATATAAATGTATCTTGTGTTTTTTTTTACTTGACATAGTCTCCATCGTGAAAGTTGTCCGGGAAATGATGAGAAGCACTAAACCCGATGAACGTAAACATAAAACTACTTGTTAGAACTATGACAAGCCACGCGATAATTACAGAAATAATGGTCATTTGTCCACAAAACATCAATATTGCAGGTATAACAAACATAAGAAGATCAGCTTTGTCATTATTACACTTGAAAGTTCTAAAACAATGTTTATGTAAGTACAATGATAATTAATTTGTAATACAATTGAATTATATTTTATATACGAGATAAAATACCTGATGACCAATTGTCCAGGAATAATAAAAGGGTATATAATTGGAGTGAGATAAGGGAATAAACGAACAGTAAATGGTTTGTCTGTAGTCGGAAACCAATGGATAAATGGATACAACAGCGACATCTCTAAGTCTTGTACAGTGTTTGTATATATATGATGACTGAGAACATGCGATATTCTCCATTCGCTAAAAATAAAAAAATAATACATTACAGAAAATTAAAAATAGTTTGGCTGTATAAACTATAAATTGTAATTTTTATATTTTCACCATAGTTAACCAATTAATAATTGTACAACTCACCGTACAGATAATAATACCAATTGCACGTAATACATTCTCCAGTTGTCTTTAAGGTGGGTGAAGTTGTGACTTGCAACGGTTCCGAGTGCAAAAAAAATTCCGGCTATCAGTGCTAAGAAAAAATTTTCTGTCTGAGCCACACCAACGCACATAGCCAGGGCAAGCAAGTAATATGTGTCGACAACCAGCATAGATTTTAAATGATAATTTTTGCTATCCACGTAAGACAACTTTTTTGCAACTCTAGACTTCAACACGTTATAAAATCCGTCTGTCTTAAACGTGAAAGGCGATTTTCTGGGTGACTCTGCTTGTCGCACATAGAATTTGTGCATCACTGCCGTTGGAGCTTTGCCATTTATATGATACGACTCGAATAGTTCTGTGATATCAGTACCCTATATATTGTGTTACAGAAAATTGAGATTGAAACTATTCTAGCAATATAATATTTTGCATGGTGATTAATTTACAAGAATACATTTTTTTTTTTATTAGGGTTTAGGCTTCAACAACTGAGGCCATTAGCCTGGGGAACTGCATGTAAGGGTAGGTACTGTAGGTTTTTAACACGTGGGTTTTTGTTTGGCAGAATTTTGAATGGGCACCCGTAGGTTTCTGCCATGCCCGGTTTGGAGGCGGCGGCCTCTCTCTCCAGACATCACGAAATGCCCAAAGAGAAGAATAAATTGTATTTTATCATTGCAGGTGTTATCAACGAAACTTGGTTTAGTTTTTCTTATAAATTAGTCATGCAATGTTATGGAAGATCTACTTAAACATTAAATTCTTTGTTTTGTACAATTTTATGAGGAATTGTTATTTAGAATTAAACTATTTTTTTTTATATACTTAAAAGGAACAATATTAATACTGTATCCGATTATTGTAATGCAGAATCMACTTAGAAAATCAAACGGTAAATTATCTTAGATAATAATTCAAAATAGGTTAGATGCGTCCTTTAATAAATAGTTTCAACAAAAATATTTACTTACAAGTCCACTAACTATACTCTGTATTCTACTTAATTTTAAATAAGAGTAAATTAAATATTATATTTTAATGATAAACACATTTTCAATGTATGATATATGTATCTGCGGTTAAATAAATATTACATTGAGTATAAGGTTATTTGTATTTTATTTTATCACTGAATACCTATTTTAAAAGTAGGAACTGTGCTGTTCGCCAGATAATTATTCATCACAATTCGACCATAAATTATGTTATACGTCGAACATAATAATGTTAATGAATGTTGTCTGTTTTGTTACTAAAAAAAATATAAAAATATGATATGATGATATGAGATTTAAGAAATGAATGTACATATTATTCTCTAATGAAAGTAACGTGTTTCTAAGATATTAAATTAAAAAGTATCTGATTATCGGTATTATCTACTCTTGAACGTACTCAGTATTATTTATTTATCATATTATGTAGAATTTGATATTATTTTYATTCATATTTTCATCATGTTTGAAATATACATTTTTAAAGTAGAAAGATAACCTACATACTTTTGTAATTTCCAACCACTGTGGTCCTCCAGGGTGCTTATGTATCCATTGTTCAAGATCATACAGCCCATCGTGAATTCTCCACAACTTATCTGCACCATCTTCCTTTCTGCGTGCTTCAATCCAATCATCGGCCGATTTTATATTGTTGTCTGTGCTCAATATACCACTCCATACAGGCCAGCTACTAGTTCTTGGTGCCATAATTATTTATGAACTGTTGAAAATATTAATAACAAAAAGTGTTTAATAATAATATGATGCGGTGTGTGTTAGATGAATTTAGTACCTACGTAAAAACATAATAAAAAAAAATTCTCACGAAATGTCATATACTTAATAGCATTACAGGGG